CCCTCACCCCCGCCATACAATACAAGATCTTCCTTCCTCAGTTCCCTTAAATCACAGGCCAGGGAAATCTCAGAGCCTTCATCCAGCCACCGGCCAGCATGTCTGGGGGCAAATACGTAGACTCCGAGGTAGGCTTGGGTGGGTGCGCGCCGGGCCCCGGGGCTCGCAAGGACTGTCTGCTTCTGCTGTCTCCCACTCCAAATACTCCGACTGCTTTCCTTGCCCCAGCCCGCTCTCGACTTCCGAGCACTCCTCTTGCGCTGGCACTGCTGCGGAATGGGCCTGGGCGGGGAGGTGAAGAGGAGGCAGGAATGTTCTGTGTTTTTCTTTTGGGAGGGGGCCTGGGGGTGAGGGCTAAGCTAGAGGGACACGGAAAAGGGAGTCCGAGTTCTGAAGCTGGGTCTTCTTGACGCGTTTTTTGGTGGGTCTCAGGTGCTGCCTTACTGCAGGACACCCCAAGGTGCGGCCCCTGCCTGCTGGGAGGCGGGGAGCTGGATCTCAGGGTGGTAGGTCATTCACCCGCAGTCCTGAGGACGGTCCCAGTGACTCCCCGCCAGGCGCCTGCCCCCGCGGGCCCCGACGATGGCGCGCGCGGTGTTTGCACTTTCCAAAGCTCTTAGGCCACCTCAAGAACTCTTCCCACATCTCGGCGCCTGACAAGGGTGTTTAGAGAGGGACGGATTTCCCTTCCCCCAACTATCACCACCCTTTCTAACCACCCTCCCACCCGGGTGTGGAGACCTCGTTATCCCAAACGCAGCTGCCGTCCGGCCACGGGTGCTCAGCCTGGGAGTGACCTGAGGGTGGATCCGGGGAGTTGCGCAGGTGAGATAACGTTCTAGGGAGTTTAGGGGATCTTAAACAAGGCTCCGCCCAGAGAAGGGGCATGCTGTACTGTAACCACCACGGCAGGCGGTCGTGCTGTGGAGGGCAGAGGGAGGGTGGGAGACGCGGGCAGGTGCCAGGGAGACGCGGCCAGGAAGCAACGAAATAGGGACACTCCATGAATCAAGGGAGTTCAAACTGAATCTTAAGGATGAAGCTGGAAAGATTATGGAGAGAGAGGGAATGGGGTCCGGGGCGCAAAAATGGAGCAGGTGAAGCACTCCAGTGAGGGAGAGGGACTGGAAAGAAGTCAGAGGTCCGGTCCCCCTCTGCTGGGGTCTCTGCGGGGTACCGCGGGCAGGGCGTGCGCTGGGCGGGGGCCGGGGCGGCAGGCGCGGCGGGGTTTGCCCTGACCCCTGGCGGCGGGCGGGGGAGGCAGGCGCTCCCTGCCTGGTACGGAGGGGTGTGGTGTCCTCTCCTCCATTCTCTTAAAAAGCTTGCGGCGCCAAGGAGTTTACTGAGCGCAGAGCCACTGCTGCAGAAGTGGTTAGTTCAATTTTGAGCCTCAAGGTTTGCTCCACCGCCAAGCTGACTTCTGATCACTTGTTTTTCTTTTTGAAAATTTCTTTCCACTGCCGGTGCCACTCTCCCTCTCCTGGCCGTCCGCCCTCTGCAGGGACATCTCTACACTGTTCCCATCCGGGAACAGGGCAACATCTACAAGCCCAACAACAAGGCCATGGCAGACGAAATGAACGAGAAGCAAGTGTACGACGTGCACACCAAGGAGATCGACCTGGTCAACCGCGACCCCAAGCATCTCAACGATGACGTGGTCAAGGTAAGTTGAGACCGCCAGCGAGGAAGGGACGTCTCCTGCCTGAGGGGACGCTGTCAGGCCTGGGACAGTTCTCCTCTGGCAAGCATCCTGTGCATCCATCTCTACCTTTGCTACACACATACCATTTTCTGGGCTTGATGTATTGGTGCTCCCGCGGTTGTCAGAAATGTCTCATCTCTCCTCCCCCCTCCTGCTGGTTAGTTCAGCTGGAATTTATCTGGTTTTGTAAGAGTTCATATAACTGCACTCTTCTCCTGGTAAATGAACCTCCTGATCTCAGCAACGGACATACCCGCACTCCTTAGAAGGGTTAGATGGTTACGCTACAAGTCTCCCTCTCTTCATTCCCAGGTTGAAAGTCCAGGGAAGAAGGGTGGTGCTCACTGCACATAGAATTAAAGCAGTAAGGTCATTTTGTAAGGTTTTGTGCCAAAGGCGAAAGACGTGATACAGAGTTGGCAGGTCCCCTCAGCTAAAATTAAGTACCTTGAAGTGATTTTCTTAAAAATAATAAAATGGGAAGAAACACTTCTGATCAAAGACAAAGATTATACAAATGCATATACAGATATTTACTCATTGTGATTGATATGTACATATATATGGTATTTTAACTGAAAAAAACATGGCACTTATGCACAGTTAAGCAAATTTACAAAATCAAAAATAACGTGCCCCTCCTGATTTCTCCCAAAGATACTTCTAGTTAGGTGTGGAAAGTTGCTTCTTTAGTGACTATCTGCGTCAGCCTTCCCTGAACTAATGGGACATTTGGGTTGGAGTTCTTCTTTATACTTTCCGGATGTGCTTGGTGATATTAAAAACAGGTTAATTGAACCAGTTATTGGCCAAACTTAGATTTGACTCTGCGGTCAGTTTTCTATTTCATTATGTTATTCAACTTTGACCATTTTAGCAAATCAAGTCAGAGGAATTTATTGTCTGAACCCATCTGGATTGTGAAGTCATGGGCCTGAGCCATCCTTGGCAAAGGGTTTTCTTTGAGGGGCCAGGAGAGCCAATGAAAGTCCCAGCCTGGAAGATAGACTGTGAAGACCCAGTTCTATCCAACCCCGGAGCAGCCAATGGGGTGCATGAGCAATTTCCACCCACCAGGCCTCCTATCCATGGATGGGAGGAGCTATAGTTCAGAGACTGTGTACATTTATGAATAATATATTTCAAAAAAGGGAACAATTTAATCTGTAACTGGAAGGAAAATGTAACTGTCAGCATTGACTCTCTTGGCTCACTGGTGGAGGAAAAAGGAAAATTGGAGCATTAGCAGGAATATTTAAAAGCAACAGCAATAATAAAAGTACCTTATAAACTGAAAATTAGAATTGCTAAAAGCTATTTACTAAAAATATTACCTTAACAGGGGTAAGGGCATTTTTGCTTTTTTCCCTTCTCATGTAGCTTTGGACAAGGAGAGATGCCAGGAAAAGAGGCAGATTTCAGAAAGGGCTGGCTTCACTGGAACCTCCCTGTTGTTCCATCGCAGGGTGAGTGGGGTTCCTGGAGCAAGCAAACCTCCCACATGAGTCAGAGAGGCCAGCAGTGTGGATGTGGGTCTCCACACATAGCATGACTAAATTGAGAAAGAAAGTCCCACTGGGAAAAGATACTTCAACGCAGATGGAAAAAAAGACATAACAGGCTTAGAGGAAATAGCAGTTTACAAAATAGTATTTCAAAGAGCAAGTGTGAGGATCCTCATATTAAAGAAATTAAAAGGAAGAGTTAGAGCAAGTTTCTGCTGGCCTAGAGAAAGCAAACCCTGCCTACTTGCTCATAGAACTGTGAGCAAAACAAGACAGTCAAACAGAAAAATCTACCTTGAGAAGAATTTGGTAGGCCACAGTACTTATGTGCCCTGACTAAGGGGGACTTCAGAATGCCCTACAGAGGGAGACCCAAGGAGTGCTGTCTGCCAGTCGGGCTGGGAAAGGGGGCCTACGGCCTCCAGAGATTCTTAGTTCATAAATTTTTTCTTTGAGTCTAAGCACAAACATCATGACTGAAACAAGGATGATCCTCTCCATGTTACCATGATGGTAAATAATAAATTTTTCCTATATTTTATTTTGACAACATAGACTTCTTAAAATAATAAAGGCATCCAAAGCTTCGTTATTAATGCGTGGTAGTTTAAAACTGCACGTGATCATAAACAGTGATCAACTGAATCTACTATCTAAGGTACCAAATCAGGTACAGAAAGTTCTGTTCTAAAGGCAAGCAGCTCTGTAAAAAGGGCTTTATCCGATTCTGTAGTCACTAGCCACCGTGGCTATTTACATTTAAATTTCAAGTAATTTAAGTTAAATACAATTAAAAATTCAGTTCTTCAGTCATACTAGCCACATTTCAAGTCCTCAGCACATGAAGCTAGTGGCTTCTGTGTTGGACAGCATAGAAATAAAACATTTCCATGACAGTCATGGAAGTCACTATTGGACAGAACCAGTCGAGAGTGTTCCCTGCATTTTAAAAAGCTTCCTATATCAAGTTTAGAAAAACAACTCTAGATGGAGAAGAAATTAAACCCTGATGAGAGTGTGAGGTACAGCATAGTACTCTCTCAGTCTCATTAAACAGCTATTTGGGGAAGAAAAGAAAACTCAGAAACTAGGTGTGTCATGAATTTACATTTCAAGAAGGTGGAATATTATTATCTATTCTACTGGTGATAAAGAGATGAATTAGTCTATACCATTTAGTTCCATTATATTGGTTTCTTACCTTACTAAAGGTTTGCTGCATCATATTATGAGATAACTGTGCAGACATTTATGTAAAAGATTGTAGGCTGTGAATGCTTTTCAAAATTTCCTCTAATTAAAGTGATCACAACTTCAGACCCTTCATTCTCCCTCTAAAATTTCTATATCTTCTTCTTGTGTTCACATTTTCATTCATGTTTATTATGTACTTATTTAGAATTTGTAAATAAATAACATGGCTTCAAATGTATGGTTCTGATATCATATTAGCCATCGATGCATTCATTTATTAAAGTCTTATCATAAGCTAAACTAAACACTGTGCTACATACTACAAAGGATAATTTCTAACGTAAGTTCTAGCAATCACAAAGATTAGCGTTAATGAATGAGACAAGATGCATACAGGTAAATAGTTTTTAAAAACACACACACAGTATCACAACAGTAAGTCACTGCCAAATGGTAACTAATGGATTCTTTTTTACTTTGACTGCCAGGAAACATATAACTAGATTTTAAGTTTCATTAACCCATGTTACTTATTCTCTCTCACATATGATTTTAAATTTTCACTTTCTTTTTCAGTTGGGATGCTGTTTTATGTGGTCTCTATTTTAAGCCCTCTCATTCCTTATTTTGGAAATAGACCAAATATATACTAAATCAAATATATAATAAATCAAAAGTAAGTAGTATTAAATATTGCATAATAAAAAGGTTTATAAAAAGTGTTATTAATTATCTTAATCTTGGTAATCTTTCTACAATGTAGATGTATATCAAATGATTATTGTACACTTTAAGTGTATATAATTATATTTGTCAATTAATCCTCAATAAAGTTTTTTTTTTTAAGTGAATGGTATTGATATTAAGTGTTAGGGAGGGTAGGGCATTAGAGTGAGAGAAGGAAGGATGCATTAGAGATAGTTTAACACAGAAGAGCATGAAGGAGATGCAATCTGAGTTGAGTCATAAAGGATAGATGAAATGCAAATAGCTGAGAAAGGCACAGGGCATTCATTCTAAATGAGCAAAGCACGGAAATGGAAATGTCTCACTCAGGGCATGAGCCTGAAAAGTTTAGTAGCCTATTTGGATTGGATTTAGAGTTCATGTGGCAGCGTGGTAGGTCATAAAGATGGAAAGACTCATCAGGTCAGATGGCAGAGTCCTGAATCCAGTACTCGTGATAAATTTTTACTTTATCATGTCAGCAGTAAAAAAACAGGAAGACTTCAAGCATGAGGATAGTATGATGAAGGTCAGCTTTTTGGAAGATGAGTGGGTAAGGTATAGGATGTAATAACACATAGCCAGTCTGGATGAGCAGAGAATAGTTATGAGGTAATTGCATGGTGGTCCAGATATGGAATGTGAAGGACAGTATATAATGGCATTGGGAATAAAACTACATAAAAGCACAAAATGACAGAATTTTAGAATTAGAAGGGAACATAATGGTTATACCAGGCTAAGCTCCAATTTCTCTTTTTTAACATTAAGAGAAATTTAACAGCTGACAAAGTTTAAAATTTTATCCATGTTTTCACATGGTTACTTTCCAAAACAGATATTTTGAAATGTATCACAATAGAAGAATAGACAAGATTATGTGATTCTCATGAAATATTGTCATGAGAGGAGAAATTAGTTGAGATGATTCTGAGGTTAGCTCTAAGACAAATAAAGACATCAGATAGGAGCTCTTGGGTAGAAAGTAAAAAATGCATTTGTAACTTTCTTTTCTAAAGCTTGAACGTAATGATTCTTAAATATACACGAACTTTTTTTTATCATTCAAGAAAAGGCATACACATTGTAATCAGATCTGTTTTGGTTTTAAAATAATGGACTCTGTGATCCCTTTGAACTAGAAAGCATTCTAGAGAGCTTAACGATTAATATCAATATAATAGTAATTTTTAATTGTATATTTATTTGATATACCTATAATCAAAGCATAACATCTAAAAGATCAGATTATCTCAAAACACTCAGCACCATGGTAATGTTCTCGTCTGTTGGGGCTGGTATCAGGTTTGCTTGTCCGTTTGTTTGTTTAGGAGATAGCATCACGAGATGGTGATTGATATTCTGCCACATATGGCATGGATTCAGAATCCTCAGCTTGTAAAGGAGTATTATGGTCATCTTCAGTGGGAAATTATTCTCACATCACTGAGCAAAGAATGATACTAAAATGATGGATATTATTTATTCTTAAGCATCTGAAACAATTTCGAGTTCAGCTAACAATGATATACATTT